GGAGTAGTAACTTTAAATCCTTATCGAATGAACAAGTTATGAGTTTGGAGGTTCCGGTTACTGAAAGTGAAGTAAAAAGCGTAGTTTGGGCTTGTGGTTCCTACAAGTCTCCAGGTCCAGATGGTTTCACTTTTATTTTTTTCAAAAGATATTGGGAGTTAGTAAAGAAAGATATTTTGTCGTTCGTGGTGGATATTTTTGAAACTGGAAAAATTCCATTTGGATGTAATTCTTCTAGTCCAATGTTGGTTACAGACTTTCGTCCTATCAGTCTGATTGGTGCTCAGTATAAAATTATAACAAAAAATTTGGCTTTGCGGATTGCGACAGTTATGGATTCGATTATTAGTAGTGAACAAACGGCGTTTGTTAAAGGTCGTCAAATAATTGATGGCCCCCTTATGGTCAACGAAATTATAGATTGGCATAAGAGATTGAAGAATAAACTTATGGTCTTAATATTGACTTTGAGAAAGCTTATGACACAGTCAATTGGGATTATTTGTTACAAATTATGGTTTTTCTCGGGTTTGGTTCCAAATGGATCTCATGGGTTCGTGGTTGTCTTCTCTCGAGCAAGGCTTCGGTCCTTGTAAACGGGAGCCCGTCAGAAGAATTTTTTATTCAGAGAGGCCTTCGTCAAGGTGATCATTTATCTCCGTTTTTGTTCATTCTTATAATGGAGGGTCTTCATGTTGCTATTACAGATGCTATGGAGGCGGGTGTTTTTCGAGGTATAAAAATTGGATCTTTGACTCTTTCTCACTTTCTTTATGCGGATGATGTGTTGCTTATGGGAGAATGGTCTAGAGAGAATGTTATCTGCTTGGTTCATTTATTTGATTGTTTTTTCTATGCTTCGGGTCTTAGAATAAATCTTCATAAATCCAATCTTTTTGGTATAGGGGTCGATTTTTGTGAGGTTATGTCGGTTGCTACCGTGACTGGTTGTAGACCTGCTAAACTTCCTTTTTCTTACCTGGGTTTACCCGTGGGTGTTAGTATGTCAATGATTAAAGGTTGGAAGCCAATAATTGACAAGTTTCAGAAAAAACTGTCAAATTGGAAGGCAAATATGTTATCTATCGGTGGTAGATCAGTTTTGATTACTTCTATTATGGGTTCGTTAAGGAACTACTATATGTCCCTTTTTCTGATGTCGGTGCAGGTTAGGAAATATTTGGAATCCATGCGTGCTAAATTTTTTTTTGGAGATTTGATGGGAGTTCTAAAAAACTTTCTTGGGTTAATTGGAATTTGGTGTTGGCTTCCAAGGAGAAAGGAGGTCTCGGTTTTGGTAGTCTTGAGGCTATTAATCTTGCTTTGATCCAAAAATGGCGTTGGAGGTTTGTTAAAGAAAAAAATTCTTTATGGGTTAAGGTGATTTCAGCTCTGTATGATTATCCGATTGGTGTTTGTTGTAGTATTTATAGACTTACGACTTCGGGGGTTTGGTCTCGTATTATTGGTTCCATTAATACCATGCATGAAAGGGGTATAATTCCTTTTTCGTGTCTCAAGAAGATGGTGGGGAATGGAAGAACCACTCGATTTTGGTTGGATACTTGGATAGGTAATATTCCTTTAAAAGATCGTTTTTCACGTTTGTTTTATCTAGAGCAAAATCGTAATTGTTCTACAGCGGATAGATGGGACGATGGTTGGTATTGGCTTTGGAATCGTAATTTTGAAGGTGGAGCTTTACAAAGTCAATTTGAATACTTATTATTGTTGCTTCGATCCTTTCAACCGAACCTAAAGGAAGACGATTGGCGGTGGGAATTGAATGGTGTTCTCAATTTCAATGTGAATGAAATTAGAAAGCATATTGATAATGAGTGCTTACCGGATGGTACTCTTGTGACCAGGTGGAATCGCTTCGTTCCTAGAAAGGTAAACATATTTATTTGGAGATTGTTAATTGGTCGTTTACCTACCAGGTGGAATCTTAGCATCAAAGGTTTGGATATCCCTTCGTTGCTTTGTCCATTATGTGATAAACAGGTGGAAAATGGAGATCATGTTTTCTTTTTATATGAAGAAGTTTATGTTATCTGGCAAATGGTGTTTAGATGGGTGGATTTGGTGCTTCCGGGTGTGGATATACTACATGATCTATTTTTTTGGTTGGATATGGTTTCGATCTCGGGTAATAAAAAGACAGTTTTAGAGACTATTATTCAAACTATGGGTGATTTGGAGATATCGTAATGGTATCATTTTTGGAGATTCTAATCCGATTAAAAACCGGATTTTTGAAGATAGAGTTGATTTTTCTTATAATTGGTTTAGTTCTAGAAATTTTAAAACTAAAACTAATTGGGTTGATTGGCTTGAAAACCCAATTCTAGCTATTTCTTTGTAATTTCTAGCTTCTTGCTAGTTTCGTTTTAATAATATTTGGTTGTTCAAAAAAAAATATTAATATAGCACTTCTAAAAACTTGATATATTTGATAAAATGCAATAATTGTATGATTTATTTTTTTTAATGTATATAAAATAGTCACGACTTGAAAAACATCATTGTTAGTCATGGTTTAACTTTGACATTGCCGCCAAGCCTCAGGTTATTTAAAACCTTGGTTATACCTTCTAATTTACACAATTAAGCAATCAACAATAGGAATTAATATAAAGTTCAATAAGACTTCAATGCATGTGGGTGGAATTGATTAAACAAAAAGTTCATACCATTGAACTCATTGTGAATTGTGGACCCCGTGTATATAGTTATTAAATAGAAAATCATTTAAAGTATATTATCAATACCATTTTATTTAATAAAAGTTATACAAAATATAATTTAAAGATACAAACCATTTATTGTTAGATGATTCAAATCTATCAATGGAGATAGGAATCTTTAATTGTTCAAAGTTTGTTTAGAGGATTTTCATTCGTTCATTCAGAGGTCTCTTGGGTAACGGATGTCGATCAATTCAGAACGTGTTGATGGTTCCATCCGAAAGCTATCATATATAGCACCTAAACTTACTTCATATTAGGGATGATAATTTAGTTCGAAAACCCGAACCGAATTAAGCCCAAATAAACAATTCGATTCGGGTTTTGGGTATCTATATTATGTTTATTCGGTTATCGGGTTATTCGGTCTAGGTTACCCAAATAAAAGCTTGTTCGGTTCTAAATACCCCACCCGAATAAGGATTCCTCGTCCCCTTTCTCCTATCGACAGAAATCAAAATCACGATTCAAACTCTTGTCCTCATCGTTCATAATAGAAAAGAAAAACCCTACGCTCGTTCTCGTCGTTTAAAAATCCACTAATCTTCTCAAACTATTTTCAAACTCGAAATCACTTTTGTTGATCATTCATCTTGTTTCAGACTTTCAAAAATCGACCATTCCTATTGTCTCTAAGGATTCATGAATTTATACTTTTGTTTACTCATGAAAAATTGGGCTTTAACTCAAAAAACTCAAGTAAAAATTAATTCTGATTATGTTAATCTACTACGTAAATGTTATTCTTTGAATGTGTTATTGTGTTATGTTAGTCTTTGAATCTTTTATGTTGATGTATAAAAGTACATTGTTATTCTATTGTGTTAGTCTTTGAATATTTTATGTTGATGTATAAAACTACATTGTTATTATATTATTCGGGTTATTCGGGTTATAGAATCCTAATACGGGTTATTCGGTTTTTTCGGTTATATTAAGTTCTTAATCATCTTGTACATGTTATTTGGGTTATTTGGGTAATAAACGCACCGAACCGATTAATACTCGAACCGTTCCGAACCCGTATTGGTTAATTGGTTCGGTTTTCGATTCATACAACTACCCTTATTCAGTTTCGGGTTATTCGGGTTCGGATTTTGGTCTGGTTCCAACCCGAATAACATCCCTAATTCATATATCCACAAAAATTGAGAAACTATCAAAAAACAGTGATAGACATATATAAGAGCATTAGCAAGCCTTTACTCAGATAACATTAAGAACACGCTAAATATATGGATAATCTTCTTTTACAAGTACGTATGAGCCATAAGGCAAAGATCATTCCTCTTGTGCATGGTTATCCCAGGGTTAACATCAAAATCTATATCTTCCTTGTTCATACCATTGGGCAACCCCCAATCAAACAAGTAAACAAGATTAGCAAGCAAAAGATCCACAGTGACAACTCCCATTGAGATTCCAGGACAGATTCTTCTGCCCGCCCCAAAGGGAATTAACTCGAAATCATTCCCTTTAAAGTCAATATTGCTTCCCAAAAACCTCTCCGGCAAGAACTCCTCTGGGCTCTCCCAAGATTCAGGGTCCCTTCCGATAGCCAACACATTAACAAATACAAGGGTTTTCGCTTTGATTTTGTAGCCATGTAAAATTGTATCTTTTGTTGTTTCGCGTGGTACTAGAAGTGGAACCGGAGGATATAACCTAAAGATCTCTTTTACAACTGCTTTCAAATAGGTAAGTTTTGAAAGATCGTCTTCATCGACTTTACCCTTCTTTCCAACTACTTTTCTCACTTCTTCTTGTGCTTTCTTCATTACATTCGGGTTCTTTATCATTGCTGTCATTGCCCAAACCACTGTAGCCGTACTAGTATCTGTTCCGGCTACCAGTATATCCTAAAAGACAAACAAAAGACCAGTTAGACACTAGATCCAAGAAAGAGATCACATAGAAGTGAGGCAAACTTACAAAATTTTATTCAGCCAATGAAGAGAGAGTATATATTAATTACCATGAGCAAGGCTTTAATGTGATCGTACGTGAGGTTTAGGGATTGGTCTTCTTTGAGTCGTAGTAAAATATCAATAAAATCCTCTTCTTTATCAAGCGACTTTGGGTTTGGAGAACTGAGGTGTTCCTCAATGAGTTCTTGGTAAAACACATCAAAGTATTGGAAACATTTATCTAACCTATCCTTCTTGCCCAATAACTTATCAAACAAACCCACAAAAGGCAGACCTGGCCAAATATCTGAAACAAAGAAATCCGCCATCATCGCCTGAACTTCAGTAAGTAGTCGAGGAACCTCCTCTCTTTCCTGTTCATCTTTGTACCTCCTGCTAAAAGCCAATCTCATCATTATACTACTAGCCACACTCTTCATGAGTTCGCTCAAGTTTACTGGCTTTGACGATAGAGTCAGCTCATGTATCTTTGACATGATACTGGAGACCTCATCTTCTCGAATATACCTAAAACGTTCAACTTTTTTAGGTCCTAACAAGTTAACCATAAAAACCTTTCTCATCTCTCTCCAGTACTCGTTGCAGGGTGAAAAAATGACTTCGAGGCCATTGTAAGATACCTTTTGTTGGCCAATCAATGAAGGCCTATTGCAAAAGATGATATCTTGGGTTTTCAATACTTCTTTCACTAGACTCGCTGAAGAAACAACGATAGCTGGGATGAATCCCAACTGGAGGGATACGATTGGACCGTAGGATTTGGAGAGTTGCCATAGGGACGTATGGAGGTTTGAGTGATTTATCTGGTGCAAGTTTCCGATGAAGGGTAGTCCAAGAGGGCCTGGTGGACTGAATCTTGATCTCTTTTTGATAAGTTTGAGAAGAAGGAAGATGAGAGGAAGAGACAGAAGAAGAAACAGCTGTAGAAGCAATGCCATTATTGAGATGTTGGACATCCTCTGGTACTCAATTTTGGTTTTATAGAAAACGTCGGGAAGGGAATGATTAAGACAACGGTTACCGCTTCTTGGGAGATGAAATTGGAAAAAACATAAATGTCTTTATCTTAATGTGATAATATCGGAGAAAATAAGAGCTATAGAAAAACTCCAAAAATACGCGCCAGTAGACAAATCAGTTTATCAGACTGAAGCGGACTGGTTTTTAAATCGGTATGATATTTTCACTAAAATGGAAAAAACATTTTGAGGCAAAACCGGTTTGGTAAAAAAATGTCCGAACCTATAATTAAAGCCGGTTTAATAAAAACCGTTGGAAAAACCTATGTTTTTGCCAATTTTGCTGCATTTTGTGGACTTGAATCTGGGATCGTTTGGAGCTTCAAAAAGAGATATTTCTGCTCTTAATTTGATTCGTACACAACAGTTTTTTGTCATACACAACAAACAATTCATGCATTATATAGTTGTACAATACAACATTTTAAAGCATCAATTGTTGTGTATGGAGAAAATTTGTTGTATACGGATCAGCTCCCTTTTAATTTATAGGAAAATGTTTCTTGGGTATTCAGGATTCAAAACCCGTATTGAAAAACCACCAAAACCTTGTATCATTAATTTTGCCTGAAAACCACATTTTTCTACTATATAAATATCAATTCTTCATTATTTGAAAACCGTTTCAATATAGTTTCACCGAAACCATTTCCAATGGTCCAAAACCCAAACCAACTAGTCTTATACAAGTAGTGTTCAAAATATCCGAAAATCGAAAAATCGAACCTAAATACCAAAAAACGGTACCGATTTTCAGGTTAACCGAACCGATATTTTTGAATTTTCCGGTTTGGTTAACCGAACCAGGAGAATCTTCAGTTTTTCGGTTCGGTTATAGTTTATGCTTTTTTTAGGGACAATTAACTGAAAAACCAAAATTTTAATTTCTATTTTTCAAATATTGTTTATGTTTAGTGTTTAAGATATTATCAAATTAGTTCTTAAAAGTTTCCTGTTACAATTAATAGTTATCATATTATTTACATTTGTCATTTTAAAACAATAATGGTCAATCAATAGCATTTGTTACAAATATACATAGGTTGATATAGATTAAAAATATCATTTGCATTTCATCACCATTTCACATAAATAACTTCGACTATCTTTTATCTATTAATTATAAAAATATATTTTTGTATAAGTCGATATTATTTTCCATATTTCACGGGTATATGATAATTCATCCTAATTTCATTATTAATAAAAACAACGATATAGTTAAACAAATTATATGGATTATTCATTGCAATTCTTTCTTTTTTAGGAAATTTATTATGCGGTTCGTTAATCTTAACATATTTTTATTAAACTGAACCGAAAAAATTGATTAACCGAAAATCGGTTAACCTGATTTTTCGGTTTAGGTTTAGGTTTAAGAAATGAACAAACTGATTGTCTCGATTAACCTTACGAAGTATTTTTTCAGATCGGTTAACCATCCATGAACACCCTTATTTTATACCTATACGGTGGCCGACTTGACCGATGTGAAAATTACCATTGTACCCTCGTCAATGTTTTTTTTATAGGAACTCAATTTCAATCCAAGATAATACTTAAATGTGAAACAAACTTAAAATGAATTCAAAAAATAAATAAAATACTCGAAAATGAATGCAAGATACAAAAGAATGTCATGAAACACATTAGAACACTACAAGAGTAACACCCTATGCCGACGACATTTTTTAACCCTATACTGACGACAAGTCATCAGGATAGACTATACCGACAAGAATTCGTCGGCTCAGAGTCGTCGGCATAACCTTGTCGCCAGATGTGGAAATTGTCGTCGGGATAGGTACCCTCTATACCAACGACATGTCTTCGGCGCAGGTTCCATCGGGAATGATTTTCGAAAAAAATAAAGTTTCATTAATTACATTTACCGACGACATGTTGTCAGGATAGGCCAACTCTATACCAACGACATGCCGTCAGGATAGGTGATCTCTATAGCGACGACAAGTTGTCGACAAAAGTTTGTAACCATTTTTTCAGATTGAGCTATAGCGATGACATGTCGTTGATATATGTCAAACCGTTATTAAAGTTAAGACCTATACCGACGACATGTCGTCGGGATAGCCATTATATGTTTTATTTTTGGTTTTACATATTCTGTTATTTACCATTCCTGTTTGTTTAACAAATCCATGAAACTTCTAGCATATATCTATAATATACAAACATTTAATAAATATTATCACACACACATTGTTCAAATTCAAGTCTACTACATACCAAAATAATATACAATAAACTAACATTGTTCAAAATAACACAAAAAATCAATCATCATATTTATCATCTTCTTCTTCCGCCCCCCGGTCTCATCGGTTTGTTGAGATGTGTTGGGATTGAATAGAAAGTTACGAATTGATGGTGGTTGGAAGTTAGGAATTGCAACATATTGTTGCATTTGTTGGGTTAATGCAACAAATTGGGAATCACTTGTATTTTGGGATTGAGATTGACAAGATTTGGAAGGCCTTTGATTTGGAATTTGACCTATGTTGGTGGTTGGTTTCCTTCCCACTCCGCGAGTATGCCCGCATCTCGTCCTGAGGGCATGAATGAGACATTCTTGCTAATTTACATCTTCACCCTCCCTGACTTCTGTTTGCATTTTTCTCACTCTTCTTAAATCTTTTCTTAAAATAAGGAAAACAATAAACATACAATAATTAAAACAAAAAACTAAATTTAAACATTAAAATAACAATAATAATATACCTTAAACAAAAAAAACCATAATTAATAATAATAACATATTTAAACAACGTATTAATTTCGTTTATTACTTACACAATCTTCAACCTAAGTCTTCCTTGAAGTGCATTTGGATCATATCCTCAATATGTTACACCTACATTCCTTTTTGTTCCTATAATAAGCCAAAAACAATAAATATATTTATATGAGTGTTAATAACAATTTTATATAATACAAATAAATTTTATTGCCTCTAAATGACGTCGTTGAGCATATGACCTACAACCATGAGCACTTGTTTGCACAAGTTTTGCCCTAGTACCTTTTTTTTTGATATACATATGTATCTCGGTGTCAAAAACAACTTATCAATCATGTCATTCCAAGAATCGGCGACCCAATAATTCGGTGGATGTCTTCTTGCAGTTTCCACGTCTGTAAATCCGTCGACGCTGTCAAATGACGTTTTGCATCATGCTTGTGATCTCTATACGCTCTTGTCATGTCGAATTTGACACCTGTTCGAACGGGTTCCCACAAATCTGTACGCCGAAACCTATCAAGATCAAAATAGGTCTGCAAAAAAAAACATATTTGATTAGTAAAAGAAATATATAATAAGTATAAAATTAAATACAAATAAAAATATAGCATCTTTGTACTAGACAGGAACACGACTCCAAGATGGATAATGCAATGGTATTTTTTTCTCCCACTTTATTTGAAATTAATCTAACAAACAGTTGCCCCTTATTCCCTATGAATTGCCAAGTCTCCCCGCGGGTATCAAGGTCCACGACTAAAGGGTTCTTACCGATATCGTCAAAAGTTTCAAACATATTTAAGTTCCTTCCAAAGCCATGCACATTATTCGGGTTTTCTACATTCACACATAGAATTGTAATTTTAGAAATTTAGAACTTTAAAAAATTGTTCAAAATAACGCAAAAAATCAATCATCATATTCTTCTTCCCCCCCCCCCCCCCGGTCTCGTCGGTTTGTTGAGATATGTTGGGATTGAATAGAAAGTTAGGAATTTGTGCTGGTTGGAAGTTAGGAATTGCAACATATTGTTGCATTTGTTGGGTTAATGCAACAACTTGGGAATCACTTGTATTTTGGGATTGATATTGGGAAGATGACACAACGTAGGTGGCTTGATGTGGTCAAGAAATATGACTGCGAGATTCTGTATCACCCTGGGAAAGCTACTGTGGTCGCTGATGCTTTGAGCCGCAAGACGGCTAGTTCTGATATTGAGAGTCTATGTATGAGGATATCGATTGATTCTCGGCTTCTTGATCTGATTAGGGAGGCTTGGGCCAAGGGAATCAAGAAGGAGAATTGGAAACAGGAGAGACTCAGGGGTAAGATTGATAGGTTTGCTATTGACAGTCGCAGATTATTGACCCGATAAGGACGAATTTGGGTGCCAAATTTTGGTGGGATCAGACAGGAGGTGCTGGAGGAGGCACACAAGTCCAAATTTTTTATATACCCCGAAGCCACCAAGATGTAAAGAGATTTGAGGCTTAGTTACTGATGGTCGTGCATGAAGAAAGAGATAGCCTGGTATGTTGAGAGGTTCTTGACATGTTGGATGGTCAAGGCCGAGCACCAGAGGCCGCATGGCAAGTTGCAGCCACTGGAGGTTCCCATGTGGAAATGGGAACATATTACTATGGATTTCATCATCAAGCTACCCGAGACGGCTAAGGTGCATGATGCGATTTGGGTGATAGTGGACCGGTTGACCAAGAGTGCCCATTTCTTAGCTATCCGTGAGAGCTCATCGACTAAGAAATTGGTCGATTTATACATGCACGAGATCGTTTCTCGGCATGGTATTCTAGTTTCCATTGTATCAGATCGATATGTTCGGTTCACATCCCGTTTTTGGCAAAAGTTCCATGAGGAATTGGGTACAAGATTGCATCTCAGCACTGCTTATCATCCGCAGACGGACAATCAGATTGAGTGGACCATTTAGACACTTGAGGACAGGTTAAGATCTTGTGTCATAGATTTTGGTAGGAGTTGGGACTCCTACCTTCCCTTAGCTGAGTTTTCGTACTACAACAACTATCACTCCAGTATCGGTGTGCCGCCTTTCGACCTTCTCTATGGGCGGAAGTAGCGTACCCTGGTTTGTTGGGGAGAGATTGGTCATAGAGTCATAGGAAGAACTGATGTAGTTATTCAGAAGACAGAGCGAATTCAACAGATTAGGCAG